CTAATAGAATTTTAAAAAAATAATATCTAAGGTACAGAAAGCAGTTTTCGATTGATAGTTTAATTTGCTTTCAATTTTTTAGTTTTGGAAGGTCAGCTTATTTTTAACATAGATATATGTTCTCGAAATAAAGCTTTTTTTAACCCTCCTGACACGTTTAAAAAACACGTCTATACCTACCATTCTCTGAGGTGTCAACTTGCTATGGGTAGCAGATAAAAAATTTCGAGTGGTAGTCTTTTAATGCATAATTCCTGGTTTAATAAATTCGATATACAGGGTTTTACTCACCACTACTTCTACATAGTTCAAAGGCTTATGTGATATGCCACTTTGTCACAATGAAGTTGTGCCCAGCTTTTGTTAAATAAAGTAAGTAAGTAACAATGAAGCCGTGTTAAACCATGTAAAAATCTACAAATTTTAGTTTGTAGTTCTGTACTGTTTTTTCTTAAAAAATATTTCGTCGAATCCAGTCGAATCAAATTGTTCTGCATTTAGAAGGTGTGATAATTTGAGTTCTTTCCTTTTATCAACACGTTGAATGCTATGGGGGTGACTGGTACTGAGTTGGTTCGTAGCTCCACGGGGGTCACCGGTGACAGGCGAAGCCAAGGTTATTAGAAGCACATAATTCGTGTAAATTTTTAATTGTTTTATATTATTATCGTTACTAAAATAGTTTGAAGAAATTAATGCAATATAGAACACACAAAAATAGTTTTATTTATATACACAGAGATGCCAACTTGCTTCGGACAGCGAATAAGTATTTTCAAGTGGTAGTCTATTGATTGTGATTCTTGGTTTAATAAATTTAATTTAGTAGATTTTTATACACCACTATTCCTAAGCAATTCGTAGGCTTATATAATTCATCACTTTTTTCAATTATGTCATGCTAAGCCTTTTAAAAAACTAGCAAAATCTGCCTAATATTTGCAAATTGAGTTTGTAGTTATTTACCGTTTGGCCAGACGGGCAAGCCATGTAAAATTGGAGTGGCAGTCAGCGTGTTAAAGAAATTCAAGTGTAAACTGCTATGATACTGTTTTTTTTTTTTTTTTTTAAAAAAAAGCTTCATGGGATGAGTCAACTGAGATTTCACACAGGTTTTGCATATTTAAAAATAAGGTAACAAAAAGAAAAAAAATTATTCATTACTTATACGCTGCTTTTGCAAATGAATACAATCTTTATTTATTTGAAACGAATAAATGTGTATCAAAATTCCAAGCTTTTAGAGCTCTTGCCATTAAAGCGATAACTATTAATATTACAGTAAATTTTGAAGTTGGTAATCTTAAAAGGTTATTCATTTGTATTTTATATTTTATAACCATTTATATATTTGTGATAGGTAAAAATGTTTAAAAACAAATATATTAAACCAGCAGTCAAATATAAATGTATCAATTTTGTAAATTGTAACAACCAGGAATAAAAAAAAACCATTGTATCTATTCTACCTGGCAACTAAAAAGTCGACGCAAGCGACAAAAAATTTAAAATTGGGATTTTTATAATATTGTATAATAAACTACGTATAACAAAATTATAATTTGTTAGTAGTTTTGAGTTATAGCTAAGCGTTAATATACCAGTAACAATAAATATATAGTAGTAGCCCGAGGAAGGGTTATAGCAGTTCCAAACAGTTAGGACATTTTTTTCAACCCGTAATGATTTTTGAAACCCATATTTATCTTCAGATTCAATCATTAATTCATTTTTTACTTAACATATTGAGTGTCCTAAGAAAGTTATTTTAAGTAAAATTCCAATAAAAAAGAAAAGCCATTTTTTAAAAAATATCTATATATATATTTCTCTTACACGGCGATAAAAAAAAGCCTCATTACAACTCCCCGAATGGCAACGCTAGAAAATAGACCAATGATTACGGCTAAAAATGTCACATGCCATATCTAGCTAAGATGGCTCAACATATAGCGCTTTTAAAAACGGAAACTGAAATAACCAGGGAGAGCATAAGCTAGGCAGAAGTCTTTGTCGATAGATCTCTATTTTGGTTTTTTGTCGAAAGCGTTTTTTTTTCACGAATTTATGTATTACGAATTTATTTGACAATTTTTGATTTATATCACGAATTTATTTGTTTTACTAGAATTTATTTGTTTATGCAGATTTTTCCATTGCAATTCACTTATTCAAATTTTTAATAGACTTAATTATAGCCGAAATTTTAATCTTTTTAAAGAGATATCAGTTTTAGAAATTTTATCTTAAGATTTTATACTATAGCACATTTCTAATAGATTTAACGAATTACATGTCATTTATTTGAATTCAAATTTATTTTAAGGATTCAGTACTTACTAAAAAGATGTAATTTTTTTTAGAAAAAAAAGTTGTTATATGGATTTGAATGATTGTTTTGAATTCTTAGAATTTTGTGCATTTGCAATGTACCTAAGTTAGTAGCGAGCGAAGCGAGCTTGGTTTGCGGAGCAAACCATATAACATTGCGTAGCAATTTTCGGGGGTTGGCGAGCGTCAGCGAGCAGGGGGCGCAGCCCACTAGTATATAGAATTTTTCGAATAACAATGTAATGAAAAAGTAATGAAAACGACATGTATTTATGAAAAATTGCATTATAATTTTTCACAGTTCTTTTGGATTCAAAATAAAATAAATCAATTCCTTAATACAGAAATACATTTCCATGGTAACTATTTTCTGAGTTTATAGCAGTTCTTTTTAGCTTTTATTTTACGAAAACCATAATTTGTTCCATTATTTGTTTCATTCATATTTGTAAACCATTATCTGTTTCATTTTCAATTTGTGTATATACACCAAAAACAAATTTTGAACTAAACTATATACAGCTTCAGGAGGGCGAATTAAACTGTCAGACATAAAACCTAACTTAAGATTATTAATGGTAAAAATATAAATAAAATTCATTTCTCATATATTTATATTATAAAACCGGCACCTTAACAGCTGACACCAATTTTGAATTTATGACTATCAATATTCAACTCAGTAGAGCTGTGATTTTGAGCCCAACCCAGAAGAAAAAGGAGCTCCTTGGTCAAGCATTGAGGCAAATTGTCCTTCGTGGAGGACTTTTTTGATGGAACAAACCCTCATTTGCGGTACTTAGAGAGATAAACCACGAAAACCTCTCACGGTTAGCTCAACGATAAGGGGATTCTAACCCATGATTCATCTACCTCTGAGGATCTCAGCACTGTGATCGGTACGAGCTGTGAGTAAAATCCGTATTAAAAAGCTACCGCTCGTAGTCTTTTATTGGTTAATACGTTCAAATACGTCTTTTATAAACTTTCTGTCTTTAATGTCTTAATCGTTAATGTCTTTAATAAAGTTCGGGGTTCCGCAGAAAGAATCTCAATCATTATTTAGAGTTCCACGGCCGATTAAATGTGGGAAACGTTTATTTAAGGTATTTATAACCATGTCGATGAGTTAGTTCATTTCTTAAAGCCGTTTTTCGAAGACTTCGTCGTAATATGAAATGATGCTTTTTTGCGAATAATATACTATTTTCAAAACTGCTGTGAGTTTTCAACTGTTACTCATGACTGTTACATTCAAGTTTAGTCTATATAAAGCCAGCGAAGTCAACGCTTATTTTGAAAATATCATGAAATTGGCGATTTTTAAAAAAGTTTAATAACTTCTAAAATATTTAGGTGATTTGTTAGTTCTAAATCCCAAATAATTCTTCACGGAAAGATTACATATATAAGTTTAAAATTATAGCATTGCTTCAAGTGCAAGGCATTTAAACTATGGGTTTTTTATTTTCCTTGGCGACAGAGCTTCGAAAAGCAGCGTTCATTAAAATTCGTTCTGAACAATGTTTTCTTGCCCTGAGTACTTCTGGAAGCAGGAAGAAAAGAAAAAAATCAAAAACAATAAGCGCTTGTTATTTGAAGGTATAGAATTTTGCAACAAATTAATCACATACATAATAAGTATTGGACGTTCTGTTTTAATGTCAAACCGGTTTGAGGTGCTTAATATCCCTTTGATTATTTACTCTCGCATTACCATAATTCTTCTCCTTCTTCTTTAGAGGCAAGCTTCAGTATTCGATAATAGGTGCATAATTATGTCGTCCTGAGTTTCAATTTAGGAACTATTCTATCATAGAAATGATTTATCCGAACTATTTTATCATAGATTTATTAGAAGGCGGAGCTAATAATTCTTAGCCTCATCTTATTAATCGCAACCGAGTTTAAAATTAAAATTATGCAAACGTACTCAAAGCTAGTGAATTAATTATGCTGAAATGAAAGTGAAACCAAAAGCAATTCAGTTAGTGATAGTCATCAATTCTCTTAAAATAAATATAGAGCTTAAGTATTTAGCCAATCAAAATTTCACATTTTCCGAAAATTGACAGTTCTGGCAAAAAACTTACCTTTTTTTCTTTCAATAATTAACTTACAATTAATATCATAAACGACAAACTTGCTGCGATTTACTTCCTTTAAAATAAAAAATATCTATGACTTCTTGTCTCGTTAATATTTAAATCATAGTCGATAATATTGCATATTATTTGACAATATTTAAATTTTATTAGATTGATATTTTTGATTTGTTCTAACAATGCATCACCGAAAAAATATAGTTTTTAGTTTAATGTACATTAGGACTTTAAAAAATATTACTAATTCGTGAAACAGTGGAACATTTTGGCAAAAAATATTAAATATGCAAATTTATCATTCATTATTCTTGAAATTTGCATAGTTTGCAAATAAAAATCATAGAATTGTCATCGATGAAGATCAATTAACCATATTTATAATTTTTCAAACGAATGTTTTTAATTTGTTCTTAATTAAGCGCCACTGAACACAATATGGTTTTTTACTGTAAATGCGTGTTTGTAGGTGTTGAAAAAATTTTATTTGTGGAAAACAATAACAGGAAAAAAGATATAAAATCGAATACATAAATTTACTAAACGTTATTCTTGGAATTTACATACCTTCCAAATCAAAATCATCGTCTGAATCGTCCCAAGATGCACCGTCGTCAGTAACGACTATTACGGGATCAGAAGATGTAGTTTCGGTATTGAATTGTCTCCTCGTAGGCGAAGCAAACACAACGCACGTGCATAATGTCACCCAAATAAACACTTTGGAGGTCGCCATCTAAATCACACTTGATATGTCACTTTACTGATGATTTCAATTAAGCTGACACTTTCAACGGAATCGCCGGTTCATATCACGGACTTCGGCGGATGAGTTTTGTCGCCATTGCCGAAGAATTTTCATCGCTGCCAGTGGCGAATAAACGAGAGCAGCGCCATCGCTTGGCTTAAATTAAAATATTTTCTCCTGATCGATTGCTTTTTTTTAAATTTATATTTTTATAGATTTTTTTTAAAGGGAGGTTAACAACCTCTTTTTTGCTTTTTTAAAAATATTTGTATGTGTGTTTATTACATAGAAACTGACCAGCATCCTCAAAAAACTTTTCTTAACGGATATTTAAAAACTCAGTACTTTACCTTTTACATTTTTTTTAAAAACAGTAATCTGTCGTATAGATTAACTAACAAAAAATAACTACAGAAAATAATTGCAAAGGAGATAAAATGAATTTTAAAATGTTTCTTCAGAAATTTTGCAACCAATGTATTCATTATCTATGTTACTTAAAGTACATTCCTATGTTTTTTTAAAGAATACACCTTTGTTACTTAATACATGTAATTGTATTATTACCATATTTATTTAACAGGTATACCTATGTTAATTTACTTGTACTCTTATTGTTACCATGTTACATACACTTATGTTATTACCCATATTACTTATGATATATTACCCAGATTACTCATTTACTTATACATTTTATTACTCATCACCCACAATAATCATGTTATAACCCATATTTTTTACTCATGTGATCCTCTATATTACTTATGCTATTACCCATATTAATTTTATTAATATCTAGGTTGTTACGTATTATGCATACACTTTATGCTTTATGCATACACTTTTACTTCACGTTTGTTATTTAATACAGCGGTTCCCAAATGGTGTTCTGCGGAACCCTGGAAGAGCTAATGGGGTTCCACGAGTTAATGTTTTTTATAACCGGTGGTGAATTTTGAAACCTCAGATTATATTTAGATCCAAATAATTCATATTTTATTTATTTTATTAAGTACCGTAAACCGGGGCGAGTCTACCCATTTTTCCAGTTTGTCAACTTTCAAGTAGTCAAAC